TATATATATATATAAAATCAAATCGATTTTTCATTATGACTTTACTTTTATGTTACCTTTCCTCCTCTGTTGTTGCATTGAACCTATAAAAATGATAATATTTTGCACTCAGGAAATGTAGGGTTTTTTTTTTTTCATGTGTTATGTCCGTTATCAATGCTTAGCACTTTGAGGCTTTAATACTGTAACGTCGCAGCAGATATATCTAACGTTACGTTCGGGCCATTTCAAGAGGAGATCATTCTATGCTAACAGACTCGGAGTTAGAAAAAAAATACAAGCAACAAATATTGCTAAAATAAGGCGTTTTTGAACATTTACTAGTATTAACTGTTTTTCCTTAGTTTTACTATTTTTTTTTTTATTAATTATTGTACAGGTCTGTCGGAGTTAAAATTACTTCAGCTAGCTCTGTCGACACTTATAAGTAGAGTGCTGCGGTCCATGTTAACCTAGAAAGCCGACCAGGACAGAGAAACAGCCCAGAACCTTCAGTGCACTGCAGAGACATTTTCCGGCAGGTTCTGATTAAATAAATGTGATGAACAGTAAAAATTGTGAAATATATTTCTGGAGCTTGATCAATATGTCAAAGCAAAAATGGTTCATAATTACCTGTAGAATTTTTTTATACTTTATGTTGATTATGTATTAAAGTATTTTATATGTAGAATAAAGTGCTTAATTTATTTTAAGACTGGTTCCATACAAGAGGTTGCAAGAAATCTTGTGACATTACTGAGTGCGCAGCTTCAAGCGGATGGACCTCAGCAGACCACACCAACTGCCCCCCCAACCCAGTCAACACATTTAACACCTCAACAGACACCACCCACTACAGTGCATCACGAAATGTCTAGGTAAGTTAATTATTTTAATAAACAAAACAATATCTTCAATTTTGCAAGGTTTTTACAAAACAAAATAAAACTTGATATATTTCTATTATTCTCTTAAGGGAATATCTGTTACTGACCACAATATTTGACTACATTTAAAGACATTTAAAAAGTATTGAATTACACTTTGTAAAGTGCCTTGAGATGACATGCTTCATGAATTGGCGCAATAAAATTGAATTGAATGTTTTTCAAAAAAAAAAAACATTAAGGGAAGGCGAGTTTATTTAAAAACAGGGGTGCAACATTTTTAGTCTTTTTCTCAGAGGAGAACGTAGGGCTGTTACTTGGCCCTCACATTTTTTATTAAATATTTTCTTAACCCACTACACAATAGGAACAAAATAGAGGAAGGCATGGCTAATGTAACTTTATTTAATTTTATCTGAAAATGACAAGGAGTACAAAAAATGTCTTGTCTTTTCAGTCTTATAACTTCCTAATAACATGGCTATATTTCAAGCTCTTTCAATTCAATTTTATTTATATAGCGCCAATTCATGAAGCATGTCATCTCAAGGCTCTTTACAAAGTCAAATTCAATCAGATTATACAGACTGGTCAAACATTTCCTATATTTAAGGGAACCAGTTGATTGCATCAAAGTCTTGACAAGCAGCATCACTCCTGAAGAAGCGTAGAGCCACAGGGAGAGTCGTCTGCATTGCTGATGGCTTTGCAGCAATCTCTCATACCGAGCAAGCATGAAGTGATAGTGGAAAGAAAAACTCCCCATTAACGGCTAACAACACCAGACCAGGTGTACCTACTATGAAGAAAAAAAAAGACGGAGAGACAAAAGTTAAAAGCAGAAATGACGACAAGCAACACAAAACTGGAGAACGGTAGAACTCAGTAGAGTGAGAAAATTAGAAAAATAGACCCTGATGTCCTCCAGCAACCTTAAGCCTGTAGCAGCATAACTATAGAGATAGCTCAGGGTAACATAAGCCACTCTGACTAGAAGCTTTGTCACAAAGGAAAGTTTTAAGATTAGTCTTAAAAGTAGACAGGGTGTCTGCCTCACGGACCAAAACTGGGAGTTGGTTCCACAGGAGAGGAGCCTGATAACTAAATGCTGATGAAGGTTCTCAGTCATCCAGGTCATAGTCATTCCGTAAACATTTCCAAAAATATCCACTGGAGTCCAGTGGATATTTTTGGAAATGTTTACGGATAACTAAAAGATCTTCATTCTACCTTTAGAGACTCTAGGAACCACCAGCAGACCTGCAGTCTGAGAATGAAGTGCTCTGTTAATTTCGACTCAATTCAATTCAGTTTATTTATATAGCGCCAAATTCACAACACATGTCATCTCAAGGCACTTTACAGTTCAACCAGATCATCCAGTCAAATTGATACAAAGTTTTCTATCTAAGGAAAACCAGTTGATTGCATCGACTCATTGACTCTTCAGCAATCCCTCACACTAAGCATGCTTGTAGCGACAGTGGAGAGGAAAAACTCCCTTTGAACAGGAAGAAACCTCCAGCAGAACCAGGCTCAGTGTGAGCGGCCATCTGCTGAGGCCGACTGGGGTTCAACGAGACAGAAGCAGAGACACAAAAAGCAGCTGTAAAAGGCGGCCCCGTCCAGGAAACACACAGCCAGGCAGACGAGCTCCGAGCCAGCTCCCATGCCAGAGGAATGCCCCGTATGTTACGAACATACGGGGTTATCAGAGCTCAGATATATGATGGAGCTCGATTATTAAGGGCTTGATGGCATATTCTGCACAACATCTCTGTGCGTTCATCATTCTTTGAAGCCACCTCACCTCCTGCAGAAAACTTTCTGAAAACACCCAATGTTTTTGCACTTCAGACTAGTTTTATTGAAGGTGGTGGAACACCAAAGTTATTGCTGAATGTCGTTTGTTTCTTAGATATTTTTGCAACATTCTAACATTCTGGCTCAGACCAGCACTGCATATTGGGCTCTTATACATTTCCAAAACATAGGCAAATGAGCGTTACTGCATTTCATCTAGTTGTCATTTTTTATTTTTGATGGCGCACCAGCACCTGTGGCCGCTTATGTGCAGCTCTTTTTACAAAGCACTGTCATGATGGGTCTCTGTGATTAAACCCACATGCAGAACACCACACGAAGCAGGGTAAAAGTTTAACAGTTTATTAAAGATGCAACACAGAGTAAACAAGCACAGGTTCTGGTACCGGTCCGGGACTTGGTTTCACAGAGTAATCTGCAGAGAGGGATAGTTTGGTTAGCCAGGTAGCAACGATGACTTGGCTGAGTCTTAGATTGAGATTTGTACCTGATGAGGCTCAGACAGTTCAGAAGAGAGGGGGAACCGGTCGGGTCCAGAGAATGTGGTTCCAGCAGAGAGAGCTCAGCAGCGACAGAGCTTAGCTTCAGGCTAGCGAGGTTCAGACCTTGAGTTGTTCTCCTAGTTCTCTCCTGAGAACTAGTTGGGAGATTCAGGCTGAGGATCTTCAGGTTTGGCTTATCTGGGCAGGCAGGCAGGTTTCCAAACATGAGCTCCTCCAGAGCTACTGAGTCCAGTCGGGCTTTCCTGTGAGCAGAGAGGACAGAGACTGGTTAGAATCAGGTTGCTCTCTAGAGCAGACAGAGTTTCTAAATACAAGTAGTGGCTCAGGTTCCGCTAACCAAAACTGGTCAACAGTCCGGCGCTGAAGACAGGTCTGGTCGCTGCTTAAGTAGGAAGGTCTCCTGATGGGCTGATGATCCTCAGGTGTGTAGAAGGCTCCAGCTCAGGAAACCCACAGCGCTCTCTGCTGGAGACAGGTGGCAGATCTCCAGATCCCAACACTTTTCAGTAACAGGACAATTCAGACTGATGTACATGAATAAAAAAGTATTAAAGCGGGAAAAATATTACATAGGAAAAGAAAAACATTACATTAACAAAGGAATAATTCAATAAAATTGTATTTTTAGTGGTAATTCACAATACATCAGAATAAGCACTTGGAATTTATAAAAAAGATATAAAGCATCTCAAATTAAATCTAAATGGCAAAAACATTACCTGATTTCACTAAATTAATAATATGAGTAGATTATTGTTTCAGCAAATGGTATATGTTTGAGTCTGTGTACCATTGCTGTAGGTAATGATTTGATTTGATTAAGTTGAGATAAGGTATTTCAATAACTGATCATGATTAATTTGATTAATTGTTTCAACACAAGTGAGTAATTTTTTTGTTCCTTTTGAATGTATAGGTCTTTTCCTGGTATTTTTTCCCGAGGTTCTGCAAAGGGAAGAAAACGCTTTTTCTCTCCATCCAGAGTGATGTCCACAAGTGGCAAAAGTGTAACACTACATTTTTTTCTGCTCAATGAAAACACTGATAAAACACCAAAAGCAGGCATGGAGATGACGCTTATACTGGCTGGAATGGGTAGACGTAGTATAACATTCCCTGAATCTGCTGATCACTTACAGGTAGGATCCTCTCTTTTGACCTATTTATTTCTTAAATTCTAATTTTAATTGATTTATGAAAAAAAATAATTTTTACAGATTTCAGGACTTCTGACCAGCCACTACCCAAAACTTAACAACTTACAAGGGGGCTGGCTGCTTTATAAAGCACTAGGTATTACAATCTGTAAAACTGTTACAACCTGTCTTTCTTCTCTTCTATTGTCTCACTCAATTATATCATTTTTAGGAGGTTCGGGGCAGAGAAAACTTTCACTTATACCTCCAGAGACTGAGGGTTACAATGGCAACCTTCTGAAATCTGTAACAGGAGGTGGGAAAAATCTGATCTACATAATGCCACTTCAGGAAAAACTTGATATGTCCCCTCTTCCTTTGGATGCCAAAGAATTTAAAGGCATGCCCAAGGCAACATGCAAAGTTTGTAGTGCTACCATGCCACTGCAAGTCTTGGCTGTCCATGTTAAAACCTGTGTTGACCTCAGATCCTCTGGAGAGGAATTTGAAATTTCTAATACGGTAAGGTAAAAAAAATCTACATGTACAATATCCTAATGTTTTATTTTTTGCTTTCTAAATGTTCTTTTCTTTTTGAAAGTCTCATCATGCGATAAGTGATGATAAAGGTACTGCAGTTGCATCCACATTAAGGACAAACTACACAAAGATCCTTGAAACTTCTGAAGGGACACCTATGGTAAAGCAAGACTAACTTTAGGATTTTTATTTTTTGTGACTGGTGCTTCTTTTATCATAGTGGGAAATTGTCCTAACTTATACTGTACTGAAAATTATAGCTGTTCAGTTTCACCAAAGATTGTTCAAAAGCTTTACTGAATGAAAAGCTATTACAAATGTAAAACTTCTGCAAAATTGGTCAATACATATATTTTTTAAGATTTGTCTTACAAACTATGGCCGTTTTCACACCGTCTGTTGCGGCTCGGTGCACATTACTATATAAAGTTAAATTGACTTTAGTGAGTTTGGTTCAGGAAGCAGCTGTTGGGTTCCCACTGGCCCAAACATACTGTTCGTAAGGTAGACAGAACCTTTGGGTTGATCTGAACAGAGCCTGTGTGAAAATGACCAAAGAAACAAACTCTGAACTTTCTTTTATGGTTTTTAATTTAAGGCTGCTTGCCCTGTATGTCAAGAAGAATATACACTGGACTTTTTACAGATCCATGCAAGCTGTTGTGGAGACAGGTGAGTATCTTTCTGTCTGTCTCTGTGTCTGTCTGTCTGGCTGGCTGGATAGCTGCATTTCTACTATGAGAACCAACTTTTTTTTCTTTTTCAGTGTTGAGGAAGCACCTGTACCAGACCAGGTTCACAAATCAACTGAACGTGGAGAAAAAAGGTAACCAACCCGTTATAAAACTCTAGAATTGTTTTTGTGTTTTTCTTCCTGCTTTCTTTAACAACCTATATGAAACTAGCTGAAACAATATGCTAATACATTTAAATTGCCCATATTCCTTCTGTGAAGTATACAGCAGTACAAACACTTCCAATAGTAATTATGTTCTTTATTCTAAGATTATATTTAACTGAATTTCCCTTTTCTTTTCTCTACTACTTAATAAGTCTTGATGATGTGATAAAAGAAATCACAAATGCAGTATCAACTGATGGAGTTACCTTTGATATTGCTGTGTCTCGCAAAAACTTGTTGGAAAGAGGCATTGCGCAATGGCAACGGCAAAAGAAAACATCCCCAACCAACCCACTGAAAGTCACCTTCATAGGTGAAGCTGGCATTGACACAGGTGCCCTCCGTAAGGAATTTTTGACAGGTATTTCAATATTAATTATACATTTTTTGTGATAAAGACTCACGATACTTTCTATTACTGGTCTTATTTTTATCAAATTAAAAATAAGAGATCAGAATTATATATAAATGTATTTGCATCTGTTGTTTTTCTATGGAACACATGTAATTTTTAGTAATTTTAACACTCAAATCTAATTTCTGTAGTTCCACTGCTTAATTTAGTTTTTTCTAAAAGCATATGATGATGTGTCCTTAGAGATGGTTTCAGGGATTGAGAAACGCTTCTTTTTGAGGGGAGTTCATGGCTGTGCACCCACGTATTCCCTGTCAGATTTGGACAAAGGTCATTTCCGGTATGTACCTAAATGTCATTTACAGTGATTTAAGTTTAACTTCATAACAATGTACAGAATGTGACTTTTAATTGTATATTTTTATTGTTATAACTTCTCGATTGTTCATATTTAACATGACTTTTTTGGACTTTTCACTCTATTTGGATTTAGGCTTTACATATACATAGATATACGTACGTACATATATATATATATATATATATATCTATATATATATATCTATATATATATATATATATATATATGTATATAGAAGAGCTATATGTCTATATATATTTTATCTCTTTTATTCTTATTTTTTATCTTTATTATATTGTATAGTTGGATGTGTGTATATATCATGTTAAACTGTAACTAGAGGGTGTAACAAAAGTAATTTCCCTCTGGGATTATTAAAGTATTTCTGATTCTGAAAATAGTTGATTGTAACCTGGTAAAACATTCATAGATAATGAAAGAAAGTTTGTAATTAGGGTTTTAATTTACACTGTCGTCTAAGTTAATGATTATAGGTTAAGTAACATCATAGTTCTTTAACTAGTTTCATCTGCTGAAAAATGGTGCACCACCTTCCACAGTTTATATTAAAGTGTAAATAAACCCAAATGGCCCTGCGACAGATTGGTGACCTGTCCAGGGTGAACCCCGTGAACGCTGCCCAGTAAACGCTGCAGATAGGCACCAGCAACCTCCACGACCCCATGAGGGACTAAGCGGTTCAGAAAATGGATGGATGGATAAACCCAAATGCCATCCAAGTGAGCAGTGCTGAGAGTGGGTTAAACAGGGAGTTGTCAGGGCTGGTGGATGCAGCATTTCACAGTTTATTTTTACAGAATGGAAAACACACCAGCTCTAACACAGGCTAACATTCAAAGCATTATTGCACTTAGTCTTAACTCCTGAGATGTAGCTGACCGATATAAACTTAGGGGGATGTTGAAAGGCAGGGTCAGCAGAGACAGTAGTTTGCCACAGATCACTCTTTATAGATTTAGGATTTTTCTATCCTATCGTCAACAACGGTTTGCATGGCCATTTGGAGCCCAGTGGGTCTAAACTTAATTGAACACTCATTTGTTTGTATTGTTGAAATCTATGTTGCATCTGTTGGTTGAATTTTGAAAATCCACACACCATGTAAGGTTAAAAAAAGCATAAACCATTACTTTATGTTTTTATACTCAAACATTGTTAAGTTGTGATTGCTTCACATTTTTTCAGGACTGTTGGAGAAATAATGGCAGTGAGCTTGGCTCAAGCTGGACCAGCTCCAAACTTCCTGATGCCTTGGTGCTATAGATTCTTGTGCACTGGTTCCCCGGACTTTGAAAGCATGGACAGAAATGATGTGGTCGATGATTACTTCATTGATCTTATATCAAAGGTGAGGACACTAGGATACCTGCTAAAAAGAAACTCCTAAAAATTAAAAGGTAGTTTTATATGTAGTCTAACCAAAACTATTGTTGTATACTATGACAGTTTTGCAGGGTATACATTTATTAATTTTCAGGTGACGTTTATTAATTTATAGTCAACCTTTACCACTAACCATGATTCCTCCATCTGCTTATATGCCCTTAAGTCACAGTTCCAGCAGACAACTTCCTGAGAAATTTGGCAAACTAAGATCCTAAAGGAAAACAACCTTAGAAAGCAGGCATGCTGTGACTGTAGTAATTATTGGAGCTTTCAATCACCTTTTACTTGTGGAAAAATGTGGAACTTGTTTTATTTTAGGTTGAGTCTGCAAATGAGGCAACTCTCTTGAACATCACCGAAGACATCTTGAACTGCGGTTATACAGGAATCATTCTTGTGGATAAAAAGCAAGAAATGATGCGGTACGTGTGTTGTCTTGTGTTTTTTGTACAATATGCTGTTACCTTACACGAATTATAGATAACTGATGAAAATTCACTTCAGACCTCTTGTATTGATTTGATTGACAATGCACAATCTCTACAACACGAGCCTGGCAAACCAGAATGACTTATGTCGTATCCACTGTGTATCAGTATGCTACGTAGCCGGTAGTGTACAATTTCAAAGGCGGGATTAACAAGGTGAGTTATGATTACAGAAAAGTGCTGCTGTGTTATGAGTAATAAGAGTGTCTCATTGCAAAGTCCCACCTCTCGACAAAAGTCATCCTCTCCTTAATACAGTGCAGTTGCCTAGTCCAATCGAGAGGGTGCTTCTAACCACCAAAGTTGTTACTACTTAATGTTACAAGAGTTATTCTTCAGATGCAGTATTTATTGAATAGATTTATATTTCCTGTCTTTTGACTTGATATTACCACTAAATGTATTAAAGGTTAGAGCAGGGGTCGCACATCATTTTTGAACATGAGAGCAACTTTCATGTTGTTCAGTCCTACAAATGGTTACCAGTACTGACGTTAGAACTGGAAGAGTCAGAGTTCACCATAACGTTATCTAAAATAAAATAAAAAATCCCATTTTGTTATAGATTTTGTTGTTTTTAAAATCTATATAAATGCAAGTGAGAATAAACAGGAAGAGTAAAAGAATAAAATTAGGTGCACTGGTGGGTTGTGCTGTTTTTAGAAAAAGATCATTAGTGCCACTGCCACATATAATCCTTGGGGTTCAACTTGGTGTAAGCAGATACCATTTTGGTGACCCCTGGTCTAGAGTTTTTCCTTTTGTATTATTAATGTTTTACCAATTGTCCAATTGTATTGTGTTTATGTGCTCTTGATTTTGAAGATAACTCATTTTTGGGGATAAACAAAGATGATTAACAAACAACCTATAATGGCAGGTTGTTTCTATTCTCATTGCTGTCAGTTATATGCAAACTTTGTAAAGTTTATCTAGACAATTAGATCCCCCCATATTGCAGTATTTTGTATATATTTAATATTAGAAAATATGTTACTGGAATAGTATTTGTTCTTTCAGCAATGTTCCATTTTACATCATTGTTTGCCTCTTTCTCTTCACAGATCAGTTGTACTTCATGCGAATCTGAGGTTGCTCCCAATTTTGCAGCAGCTAAGGGAAGGGCTTAGGCTCTATGGCTTGTCAGATATAATGAGCACATATCCAGATATTTGCCAGCCATTGTTCGTGCCAGGTGTTGAAATGAAAGTAAGTACACTTTGTGTTCTAAATTGGCTTTTGTGTTTCCCTGTGATGGACTTCTTACCAAATATTCCTCCAGTTATCTTTCAGTCAAACTGATTATTTTTGCTTTAACCCCTGTACTATGTACTTTTGCAACCCAGTCTCATGGGAAAATGTACCCCCACTACGTTGGTCCACACTGCAAAACGTAGTGGAGGTACATTAATGGCCATTTTTTTGTGGTACTGTTACGTTTCTTCTGCCTATACGCTTTCTATTGTTTTACGTCCTAGTCACGTGACTTTCAAGATTCCAGCTGGGAGAAGAAAAAAAATACATATATGGCCGACATTCGCTCATTTTTTTGTGGAAAGATTAATGACTTGAGTTTGTTTTTGCATTAAAATGAGTTTTGATTATATTTCTAGTGAGAAATGTATAGTTTGTTACCAGAATATTTACTCAGGGAATGTACATATTCACTTGCTTGTTGTTCATTTATTAAGA